TTGTTTTTGTGTATGGTGTAAGTTGGTGATCTAGTTTCATTTTTTTGCATGTATCTGACCAAATTTCCCAGCACCATTTATTAAAGAGACTGTTTTGACTCCATTGTATGCTCTTGCCTCCTTTGTCAAATATTAATTGAGCATAATGGCTTGGGTTGATTTCTGGGTTATCTGTTTGGTTCCATTGATCTATATGTCTTTTCTTGTGACAGTAACAGTACCGGAGTCTCCCAGTCCCCTCAGCCCCCCAGCCGCCCAGGGCCGGCCCGAAGTGCAGGCAAGCCTCGGATGGTGGCTGCCCAGGGCCTCCCGAGATTTGTGCTCCCAGCAGTGTCAGTAGCAGAGGTGTGATGGGGGCGTTGCCTTCCCCTGAGAGCTCCTGGACTATGAGAGAGGGGGCAGGCCGGGCTGAGGGACCCCCCCCCTCCCCCCAGTGCATGAATTTTCATGCACCAGGCCTCTAGTTTAATTATAATATGTCTTGGTGTCAGTCTTTGGGGGTTCATCTTATTTCAGATTCTGTGAGCTTCTTGGACTTGTGTGAGTTTTTCTTCCCTATATCAGGCAAGTTTTCTGTTATTATTTCTTCAAACAGGTTTTCTATTCCTTGCTCAGTTTCCTCTCCTTTTGGCACCCCTATTGTGCGGATGTTGTTTCTTTTCACGTTACTAATGTTGTGGCCTCATCTCATAACAAAGAAACAGAATTTCCAGAGGGTGAGGCCCCGAAATCAGGATTTTAAAAAGATTCCCAGGTGATCCTAATGTGCAGCCAAGGTTGAGAACCACTGCTCTAGGTGCTATCTGCCCTTTCCGTCCACGGATTGCCTCACCAGCTGTGTTTAATTTGCCAATTCCGGGTGGGTGTTGTTCAATTCTGCTCTTCCTCCTTTTTTTTTTCTTTCTTTTTTTTTAAAAAAAATACATTTTATTGATTTTTTGCAGAGAAGAAGGGAGAGGGAGAGAGAGAGAGAGAAACATCAATGAGAGAGAAACATCGATCAGCTGCCTCCTCGACACCTACTACTGGGGATGTGCCTGCAACCAAGGTACATGCCCTTGACCGGAATCGAACCCAGGACCCTTCAGTCTGCAGGCCAGCGCTCTATCCGCTCAGCCAAACCGGTTAGGGCTCAGCTGTTCCTTCTATCTGCTCTGTGAAAAGGCGCAGGGCCCGTCCTCACATTTGTTGCCACTTTGTCTCCCTCTGGACAGACATTTTAGGTGCCCGCAGTAGGGGAGTCTGGAGTCCCAGTGTTCGTGAGTTCGCAGCTGGTCCCTAGGCGTTGTGGTTGTATGGTCCTGATAGGTATCTGTGGGATTCCGATCACAGCCAGTCTCGCCTTCAAGATGGCACGGTCTCTGTGGCAGAGCCGGCGCTCCGGGAGAGATTTCAGCAGCAGTAGAGGCTGCCCGGTCCACCAGTTCCCAACAGTCCCTTGGAATATAGCTGTCCACTCACAAATACAGACACTCCCCGCACGTCCATGCACTCTCCTTTCGTTCTCTCGCTCACACACTATCTTGCAGCCTGCTCTCCCATCGGCAGCCATCTTGACTCCCTTGGCCTAGCTGTTTTTTTAAGAGTCTCTTGTCATTCACCTCAACCGTTTTCAAGTCTATTTTAGAAACCTTTCAATCTTTTTGTTTTAAATACAGTGATGTACTGTATTTTTTTAGAGAGTAAGATCTGCTTTGTTGATTTCAAAGTCATGGGGAAAATCTTAAATTATATGTATTCTTACATCCTTTTCTCTACCTAGTCTCGAATGCTGAGTATATTGGACTCCCAGAAAAATGGGTGAGGTTGTGCTTCTCTTGCTGCTCCTTGAAAGAGCTTGACTGTTTATAGTTTGTTACCATTTCTTTTATTCTAATGTATTCTTTTTTCCTCACTCTGGGTTTTGGGAAATATAGAAGACCCTACTGCTTTCAAGTTTAGAGTAATGGCCCGTCTCTTAAATTTTAAGACAACTCATGTCAAGTTAAGAAAACAAAGAAAAGGAGTGGTTGGCTGCCACGGCAGAAATCATGATTATGATGGAATGACGCCCAAGTCCCGAGCCTGGTTTTCAGATATCTTAGTTCAATACACTTTTATTGATTCTTAGAGGTATGATCAAACTCTGAATATTGGTTTACATTAAGCTTATATGAGATTGGTAAATCAGACTTCTGAACTTTCACTAAGAAGAGTGGTTAATAATAGGACCAAAATGCTAACCTCAGCTCTACAGAGTAATTTCTTCATTATTAAATTCTATTTGGATAAGCCCATAAAGATCAAATGATTGTTTTTTAAATAGACTCTGATCAGAATAATGGCATTTGGATGATCTTAAAGGATGTTATCAATTCTGGTAGTCTTACACAACATTTTATGTTTTCTAGGTTATTGCTGGTTTATCCATATCATTCAGAAAGGGCACTTGCTTTGCCAGAATGTCCTCTAGACAGAATGGGAACAGTTCTTAACAGTATAGTTCAGTGTTAAGTATTTTGTATCAGGCTGTAAAGTCAGTTGTTTTTCTCTCCTGAAGAAATTAAAATATATGAAGATAGTTTTTAAATCAATATTTAACAAAACAAAGAAGTAGATGTGCTGTTTCTTACACAGATGATTCTTCTGACTATTCATATTCTTTGTTCAAACAGCTTTTTGGGATAACTTTGTTTTTTCTGTGTTTTCACTACACAGTCAAAGCCATTTCTGTGTTTGAAAAATAGTACTACGTCCCATCAGTAGGGAGGTAGCACAGCATAAAGAAAGTAACTTTAACTTCTTTCCAGTATTTTTATTGTGGGAAAATATACTTAACATAAGATTTACCATTTTAGGCCTGGCCAGTGTGGTTCAGGTGGTTGAGTGTCATCCCGTATACTGAAAGGTCACCAGTTCAATTCCTGGTCAGGGCACATGCTCAGGTTGCAAGTTTGGTCCCCTGTCAGGGTGCATACAGGAGGCAACCCCTTGATGTTTCTCACATTGATGTTTCTCTCCCACCCCTTTCCTCTTTCTCTAAAATCAATAAAAATATACCCTTGGGTGAGGATAAAAAAAAA